AGACGTAGTTCAGGCTCAGATTTGCTAAAATATTCAGTGACAAGAAGTAAAAACTCTGGTTTTGCTCCGGGATACTGGCGATACCACTGGATATTAGCATTAGTGCCACTAGTGAGACTGTAGTTACAGGACAGAGTCACATTTTCACCATCAGAATCATGTTTTTCTGGAAACCATGGTTGTATTGTGTCACCAAAAGAATTTCCTGTGCAAAAGAAAAGGACCCTAATTAATCAAACAATAAAACACATTTATACACTGTATAAAGCTAAATGGATTTTATTTAAGGAATTTTTTTTCATAATAAGCATATTGATTGAATGAATATCTCTTACCCATGCAAAATTTGATTATTATACAGGTGAAAAGAAACATGATATCTTTACAGAGACAGTGATGACAACAATATAATCTTTGTAACTGTACTGTAGCTGTTTCACTCTGCCTCACACTCTCAACAATAAGCTCCACCCTCTGCTGGAGTGTGTTTATTTTAGTTAAATCATGCTCATGCTGTTTCAGAGCTCTTAGTTCCTATCAGGATGTGTATGTGTTTCAGTCAAAGTGGGCTGCAGAACACAGTAGTAAACAGCAGAGTCAGACACGCGCACATCCTGGATTGACAGAGAAACTGAACTTTAGGATTTGTTGAGATCTGCATGAAATCTTTCCTCAAATTCTTTTTCACTGCTGCTTGATCCAGTCGAGAGTTTACGGAGCATGTAAACTGGTAATCCATTGGTTTTATGTTGGTACCAGTAAAGATAAGGGTGTGAATCACTGGTACTGTAAGTGCAGTGAAGTTTAACCATCTCATGTTCAGAAGCTGTTTGAACTCTTGTTGGCTGATTGACAGAATCTTGTGTATTGCACTCTGTCAGGAAATATAAAAATGTAAATAAACAAGTCAGTTTTCAAGTATATTCTGATGTGAAGATAAGGAGTAAAGGCAAGTTACTTCACCTAGAACTGCAGCCAATAGAAGAAAATTCCTCAGCCAGATTAACATAGTTTACATAAAGCGTATAAAAACTGCAAAGGCGGTATTAGTGAAATATGATGATGATGAACATGAGCCAGTCTGAGTTTTGATTTCACTGTGTGTGACTCTTTGTTTGCTCAGGTTAAACACATGTAGGAGGAGCTTGCATGTATAATAGGATACAATTCTGCCACAGTGTGACCAGGTTGTGTGTGTGTGTGTGTGTGTGTGTGTGTGTGTTTTTTAATTTTACTAGATAAAATGGAAGGATTTTGTACTGTGTTTATTGAGTTTCCTGTCACTGTGGGCCTCAGAGCACAGTAGTACAGAGCAGAGTCTGATACAGCAGCAGAGAAGATCACCAGATCCACACGTTTGATTTCTTTTGTAGCTTCTGAATATAGACGTAGTTCAGGCTCAGATTTGCTAAAATATTCAGTGACAAGAAGTAAAAACTCTGGTTTTGCTCCGGGATACTGGCGATACCACTGGATATTAGCATTAGTGCCACTAGTGAGACTGTAGTTACAGGACAGAGTCACATTTTCACCATCAGAATCATGTTTTTCTGGAAACCATGGTTGTATTGTGTCACCAAAAGAATTTCCTGTGCAAAAGAAAAGGACCCTAATTAATCAAACAATAAAACACATTTATACACTGTATAAAGCTAAATGGATTTTATTTAAGGAATTTTTTTTCATAATAAGCATATTGATTGAATGAATATCTCTTACCCATGCAAAATTTGATTATTATACAGGTGAAAAGAAACATGATATCTTTACAGAGACAGTGATGACAACAATATAATCTTTGTAACTGTACTGTAGCTGTTTCACTCTGCCTCACACTCTCAACAATAAGCTCCACCCTCTGCTGGAGTGTGTTTATTTTAGTTAAATCATGCTCATGCTGTTTCAGAGCTCTTAGTTCCTATCAGGATGTGTATGTGTTTCAGTCAAAGTGGGCTGCAGAACACAGTAGTAAACAGCAGAGTCAGACACGCGCACATCCTGGATGAACTTCAGAAACTGAACTTTAGGATTTGTTGAGATCTGCATGAAATCTTTCCTCAAATTCTTTTTCACTGCTGCTTGATCCAGTCGAGAGTTTACGGAGCATGTAAACTGGTAATCCATTGGTTTTATGTTGGTACCAGTAAAGATAAGGGTGTGAATCACTGGTACTGTAAGTGCAGTGAAGTTTAACCATCTCATGTTCAGAAGCTGTTTGAACTCTTGTTGGCTGATTGACAGAATCTTGTGTATGAAAGAAATAATGTTGTTCTTATATGTTCTTATCTAAGGATAATAAAAATGTGTTACATTTAACAGTTAAGTTACTTACCAAGAACTGCGGCCATTAGAAGTAAATTCCTCAGCCAGATTAACATAGTTTACAGAATGTGCAGCAGGCAATATTAGTCTGAAGTTTACCAGCACGTGGTTGTTTGCAGACATTACACACATACAGCAGGAACTTAAATGAGTAGTTTCCACTAACATCATCAATTATGCCACACAGTGGCCAACTTCTGAAATTACATAGTTTTAATTAAATTATAAAGTGTTCTACTCAGAGACAAAAGCTGAAATAATTTTAGAACTCCCTATCTGACTTTTAACTTTTTTTTTCTGTACAAGAGTGAAAACAAATATTTTTTAAAATGTTGTCATTCTTTATGGACTTTTCTTTGTGCACAGGGTTGTTGTCATGCTGAAATAGTAAAGAACTTCCCGAACTGCTGCAGTGATAAAGTTATAAAGACACGGTAAAGACAATTATGTTATATAATCAGAATTAGGAACGGATGGGTGGATAATTTAAAATTGATTGCATGATTATTATTGTAGTTTATTTAACTATGTTACCTTCAGTATGACTTTAATATACCTTTTACATTTCAGAAATGCCTATTGTGAAGAAATAATCACATGTGTGTTTATGTCTCTGTGTTTTTATGTGGTTTGACTTGAGTTTTCTCACTGTGGGCCTCAGAGCACAGTAGTATACAGCAGAGTCAGACACACACAGATTCTGGATTGTCAGTGGAACTGAATCTGATGAAAGTTTAGAGTGAAATCTCTCCTGGAACGCAGTGCCATTGTCTCCTCCATATTTGCTTCTCCTCAGGATGTATTTAGGAAAGTCATTCACTCTCTGCACTGGAAAAAATTATACTAAATTTTTTTTTAAGGTAAGTGGTTGCAAACATTTTATTTTAGCTACATTTAAAAAAAAATAATAATGTTGAAAGTTAGTCAACTAAATTGGTTTATTTAAATGTAGCTAAAATAAATTGATTGCAACCACTTACCTTAAAAACAATTAGTACATTTAATTAATCTTTTTTTTTTTCAGTGTGGATGTACCAGAATAAATTATCTTGTGCTGAATCTGTTTCATATTTACAATGTAATGTTACTGATCTTCCTTCAATTTCAGTCATATGTTTGTCTGGCTGATCAACTGTGTTCTCTGATCTGCACTCTGTAGGATCTTAACTGAATAGTTGAACATCATAGATTATGCAATCTTACATTGTTTTCACTAGATTAAAAAGTGTTTTCCTCTGAGAAAAAAGCTAAAATGATAGCAATATTATAGCAGTTTTGATTATTTTGATTATAGTTGTTAACTAGATATATGCAAAGTTAAAAGAGCTTCAGGTTTTTGTACGCCATGTCTCATGTTTTGTATCACTGGGCTTCTACTAATAGAGCACAGTAATAGAGAGCTGAATCTGAAAGAGAGAATGAATGAGAATGAGAATGAGCTTTATTGCCAGGTATGTTTACACATACGAGGAATTTGTTTTCGTGACAGAAGCTTCCACAGTGTAACAGGATGACAGTGACAGAACAAAAAAACACAGATAATAAAAAATAAAAAAATAGAACAAGTAAAATAAGGAATAAAAAATATACAAATCGACAATTGTATGTACAGGTATATAACAATAGAAATGTCAACTTTTCAACTTTTACAGTAGAGCTACATTTTTAATAGTGAGCGTGGATGTGCGTGATGTAGTCGACTGAAACTATGGATCAGCGGTGTGTTCATAGCTATATGATCGTGCACCTTTTTGTAATAAATACACCTTTTTGTACTACAGTAAATATTTTTCAGATACTGTCTGTCTGTACCAGAAAAGCCATATAATTGTACTATATGAGCAGCTCAATTTGACTATTTCCCTTTCTTTAGTGATTATTTCTGCACTTTTTACAAATAATAGTAATAATAACAATAATAATAATAAATAAATAAATATCTGTTGAGGCTCTCAGTGCTCTGAACTGTAAGTCATCCAGATCAGTCAAAAACATACACAGAAACGTCTCAGGTTACTTATGTAACCATGGTTCCCTGAGTAGGGAACGAGACACTGCGTCCTCTAGGGGTCGCTATGGGGAACGCCTCGTCGTGACCCGTGTCTGAAGCATACATTGAAAAAACACCAACTCGTTGGCCGGCGACAGCCATGACGTCACTACCGGTGCGACTATAGTATAAATAAGCGCCGGGAGCACACATCATTCACTTCTTCATCTGAAGCTTGCGTTCGAAGCATGGCAGGAAGCCTAGAGGGCTCCCGGCGCCTATTTATACTATAGTCGCACCGGTAGTGACGTCATGGCTGTCGCCGGCCAACGAGTTGGTGTTTTTTCAATGTATGCTTCAGACACGGGTCACGACGAGGCGTTCCCCATAGCGACCCCTAGAGGATGCAGTTCGAAGTTCCCATGAAAGGGAACTTCCTGCTTTATAAAGGCATGGCTTAAATACTTGCATTTATCATTTTCAATTTTGACTGATGAAAATTTGAAAAATGTTTATTGTTTATAGTCTAGCTATTTTTATATAAAATGTAATGAGAATTTGGAACAAGCAGGAATTCCACGTGAATGTACAGTATGTATGTACTATATACTGTATTACACATGAGAATTATTTGAGATCATTTAATTTTTATTTGCTTTATTTCTTGCTGTCTTTTTTCTCCTGTCTCTCATTGTAACAGGTTTTTGTACAGAGCTGATATGTTTCCTGTCACTGTGGGCCTCAGAGCACAGTAGTACAGAGCAGAGTCTGATACAGCAGCAGAGGAGATCTCCAGATCCACATGAATTTGTTCCCTTTTTTCAACTTCAACAGAGAATCTTGGATCTATATCAGACACCTTAACTTCTTTTGCACTACCGTAGGTGAGTACAATAAATTCAGGTTTTGATCTTTCATACTGACGGTACCAGTGGAGATCATCTGAAGCTGCAGGTGAATGACTACAGGACAATATAACATTCGAACCCTCCTCATAAACAACATCGGTTTTGTTCGGTTTGATGACATTTCCAAAGACAGCAGCTGAAAAAGTAAACATTTTTAAAAGTACATTTGTAACTTTTTAGAGATTTAAAGAAAACTCGTTAAAAAATCATAATTAACCAAATAAATACACACCTGCTGAGGCACAGAACAGAATAACTGAATGAAGATCCATTGATTGTGTTCACTCTGAGAAGAGTCAGATTGAATCCTTTCAACCACAGTCTCTGTCAAACACATTAGATCATGTCAGATCTGTGAACACTGAGTCCCTCCTCTCTGAGCCACATAATACCTGTATAAGTTCAGTTCTGTAAGTTCAATTCTGTTGTTCTCTGCTGCAGTTCCTAATGAATGTCTGAGAGCACTGCCGTCTTGTGGCACATTATACCTACCATGTGTTACACATGATAATGCTTTAGAACTTAAACTATAGGCTACTTTTGTATGGATTTGATGTAATTAACAATACTGGCTTTCTTAATACACTTTTGAATTTCATATTTATTTAAATGTTTACTTATTTATAGTTTTGCACATGTAGACTTGGATTCAGTAGCTTTTTTATCAGATTATTTACCTATTAAATCTATTATAAATATTAATCACAACTACAGTTTATAGTTGCTCTCTTAGTCTTTGTCTCCGTGTATCTTTCTTTTTTAAGGACTTGATTTGAGATGTAAAAAGAAACTCAAAAGTCACTGGCAAAGCCATGAAAATAAACCCAGAAGACTGAGCGATAATATCAAATGGATGCTGGATGCTGTTGGAGAGTCAGAAGAGCCGTGAACTCAACAGGAGTGATACTGAAAGACACTTAATTTGAACTAAGTGCTAATATTGAATAAGAGTGAGAATGTCAGCACCATTCAACAAATCATACTTAACTGATCTCCCTGTTTTTAATGCATTATCACAAGCATTAAGAAATAGTTTTGAGAATGTATTTGTATAGGCTATAAAAGGAGCCACAAAGAACTTGTTATTTTAATACATTTCACTTAATGCCTCTTGGAATTTTTAACAGACCTGATTCAGACTCACGCAGGTGTTACCACATATTTTATTACATTAAGAGCTGGATAGATTGGGGTTTTGATTGTGGTTTTCACTAGATATTTTCAAAGTGAAAAGAGCTTTAGGTTTTTGTATAACACGTCTCATGTTTTGTATCACTGGGCTCCTACTCTTAGAGCACAATAATAGAGAGCTGAATCTGACAGACGTAAATCAGTAATAGTGAGTTCAGTGGATGTACGTGTTGTAGCTGAATGAAACCGATCATCAGAGGTGTCTTCATAATCTGTCGGTGGATATCTGTATAATAAATACTGTGGTTCTCTGTTGGGATACTGTCTGTACCAGTAAAGCCGAACATTTTCACTATTTGTACTATACGAGCAGCTCAACTTGACAGTTTCTCTTTCTTTAGAGGTTTTTTCCATCCCTTTATCTGGCTCAATGTTGTCTCCAGCCACCAAACCTGTCAACAATAAGTACATATGAACTGCAAACACATTTCTAGCCATGTTTTACAAAAATACAAATGACTAAAGTAATATAAATAGCCTTTGTGGTTTGAGATTTTAAATCATCATAAATATTTATGAACAGAGATTCATTAATTAATAAATAATGTACCTGTTCCCACAATGAGAATCAGTATAAAGCATCTGTCCATGTTCAATCAGATCAGTTCAGTTCTCTGTTGAGTCTCTCAGAGCTGCTCAGCCGAACATTTTCACTATTTGTACTATACGAGCAGCTCAACTTGACAGTTTCTCTTTCTTTAGAGGTTTTTTCCATCCCTTTATCTGGCTCAATGTTGTCTCCAGCCACCAAACCTGTCAACAATAAGTACATATGAACTGCAAACACATTTCTAGCCATGTTTTACAAAAATACAAATGACTAAAGTAATATAAATAACCTTTGTGGTTTGAGATTTTAAATCATCATAAATATTTATGAACAGAGTTTCATTAATTAATAAATAATGTACCTGTTCCCACAATGAGAATCAGTATAAAGCATCTGTCCATGTTCAATCAGATCAGTTCAGTTCTCTGTTGAGTCTCTCAGAGCTGCTCTGAGCTGTAAGTCACTGCAGATCAGTCAGAAACACGCACAGGAACTTCCTGCTTCCTGTGTTAGATAACTATATTATTTTATTAGACAATACGAGAATGTTGTATATAAAAAGAGTTGCATGAGCTTTTACCTCAAAAGCACCACGAGAAGCATGATATTTAAATCATTTCGATGCAGTTTAGCTTCCTCACTCTGCACAAAACATTACAGTGGTGATGATGGTGCATAGGCCATGTAGTATTTCTACAAAAAGCATTAATATAAATTTAAAAAATCAACGCAATAAGTGCCAGTATAAAGTCAATTATCAGAAATACTGTATACTGTACACCTTACACTGACCTTTAGCACCAAGTTTTAATTAAGGTATTTTAATGTATTTATAATTTCAATTAATTAATTTAAGGCTATAGTCGCTTTAAAATATTTGATGCCTATGTTTTTCACTTTATTATGAGCATGGATATATTAAGTAATGAAAATCTGAATAATGTCATTTTTCTTTGTAGAGTTACATTTTTTTGTTATATTATTTTTTAATGTATACGTTTCAATTTTCAGTATAATTTTCACATTATAAATGTATAACATAATGTTGTAGTATGATGTTTTCTCTTATTATATAGGATTTGAAACATATAGCAGTAACTCCGTGTGAAAATATGTGAGCACTGCCCTCCTGTGGCATACATGAACCTGCACTATTTATTGCACATGAGAATCATTTGAGATCAAGAGTAGCTTCATAGTGATTTAATGTAATGAATATCTTTCACATTAAACACAAATTTCATTCATCTCTGTCTCTGTGTTTCTCTCTTGTCTCTTACTGTAACAGGTTTTTGTAGAGAGCTGATGTGTTTCCTGTCACTGTGGGCACCAGAGCACAGTAGTACAGAGCAGAGTCTGATACAGCAGCAGAGGAGATCTTCAGATCCACATGTTCTCTTTTTGGAATGTTAACAGAGAATCTTGGATCTACATCAGACCGCTGAGCAACTTTTGCAGTGTCATAGGTGAGTACAAGAAATTCAGGTTTTGATCTTCCATACTGATGGTACCAGTGGAGATAATCTGTACGTCCTGAAGCAGAAAAACTGCAGGATAATGTAACACTTGAATCCTCCTCATGAACAACATATGTTTGGTCTGGTTTGATGACATCTCCAAGGGCAACAGCTAAAAATGAAAAAATGTTCCTTGGTAACTTTTTAGTGAAACGTTTGAGTAAAATTGTTAACAATAAATAAATAAAATAAAATAAATACACATACCAGCTGAGACACAGAGCAGAATAACTGAATGAAGATCCATTGTACAAGTGTTCACTCTGAGAATAGTCAGACTGAATCGATTCAGCCACAGTCTCTGTCAGACATGATATGAACACTGAGTCCCTCCTCCCTCATATTATTTATAACTCAATTGAGAAGTGCAGGAGATAAGAAAGATCTAATCACATGAACAATTGTTACAACTGTATTATTAATCTGTGAACCTTATTTAGGAATATGATTGAAAAAAGTTATTGTAATATTTATTGTAAAAAATTATTACTATTTGCCAGAGTGTGGCAGCTTTAATTAAAATGAAATTTGACAGTAATGAGGGAAGTGGTTTACTGTTTTAGAGTATTTCTCCATCAGATTCAGAAACATTTTGAATGTCATTTTGGGCCTGACTCAACAGCGTAGCATCATGTGAAACACATTTATCTCTCCATCAGTGTTAAATTATAGATCAATTCTAATGTGGTAATTCTTTAAAACAAAATCAGATGAATTTTTGAATACTTGTTTACATCATGAATCATAATCCAGTTGTTCACATGTTTGCAAGACAATTATACTGTGCACAGCCCTTAAAAAAAACTTTTAATTAAAATTAAGTTGAATTCATGCAATTAAATAAAATTAATATCAATATAATATTACATTGCTGTGATCCTACAGAGGATAAACAGTTTGGAGAATTGACGGATAATATTAAATTGATTTCATGATTATTATTGTAGTTCATTTGACCATTACATTTAGTATTATTTTATTATAGCTTGTACATTTCAGAAATGTGTACTGTAAAGAAACAGTCATGAGCATGTTTATGCCTATGTGTTTTTGTATGTGGTTTGACTTGAGTGTTCTCACTGTGGGCCTCAGAGCACAGTAGTATACAGCAGATTCAGACACACACAGATTCTGGATTGTCAGTGGAACTGAATTTGATGAAAGTTTAGAGTGAAATCTCTCCTGATACTCAGTGCCATTTTCTCCTCCATATTTGCTTCTCCTCAGGATGTATTTAGGAAAGTCTTTTGCTCTCTGGATGTACCAGAATAAATCTTCCTGTGCTGAATCTGTTTTATATTTAAAATGTAATGTTACTGATCTTCCTTCAGCTTCAGTCACATGTTTGTCTGGCTGATCAACTGTGTCCTCTGATCTGCACTCTGTAAATGTTTAAGAATATTTGATGTACAATACAATGCAACATATAATCAACTTACATGAATATACAGCTGTATTAAATGAGAATTCATACCAAGAATGAATATTGTGAAGAGAAATATAATCCTCAACCTGTGTGACATGACTGTCTATGTTGAAGTAAAATCTGTAAATATAAGAGTCTTGCTTCTGGTATTATAATGACGATCCAAGGAGGAGCTTGTGGAGACCTATAAAAGCTGCTGTATTGTCAAATAAAATATTGAACACCTATACTGCCCTCTTCTGGTTCACTGCAAGTATGGCATAACTGAAATTCTGCAATCACATACACATTCATGCAAATAAAGTATTTTATTTTCTGAATGGTAGAATATTCTAAAGTGGCTGGTCAGTTAAAGGACTGTATTGTGTGGATTTGCTATAATTCACGTTTCATAATCCCACTTAAATTTGCATACTGTAAAACAAACTGGCCTTTTGACTAACTTTAGAATCTTAGACTTTAGAATCTTTGTTTCATGTTTTGATAATTTTTGCATTAGATTTATATTGTGTTTCTCTCTTGTCTCTCCTTGTAACAGGTTTTTGTAGAGAGCTGATGTGTTTCCTGTCACTGTGGACTGCAGAGCACAGTAGTACAGAGCAGAGTCTGATACAGCAGCAGAGGAGATCTTCAGATCCACATGGTTTTTCTTCATGCAAATAAAGTATTTTATTTTCTGAATGGTAGAATATTCTAAAGTGGCTGGTCAGTTAAAGGACTGTATTGTGTGGATTTGCTATAATTCACGTTTCATAATCCCACTTAAATTTGCATACTGTAAAACAAACTGGCCTTTTGACTAACTTTAGAATCTTAGACTTTAGAATCTTTGTTTCATGTTTTGATAATTTTTGCATTAGATTTATATTGTGTTTCTCTCTTGTCTCTCCTTGTAACAGGTTTTTGTAGAGAGCTGATGTGTTTCCTGTCACTGTGGACTGCAGAGCACAGTAGTACAGAGCAGAGTCTGATACAGCAGCAGAGGAGATCTTCAGATCCACATGGTTTTTCTCCCTTTTTTCAACTTTAACAGAGAATCTTGGATCTACATCAGACTGCTGAGCTTCTTTTGCATTGCTGTAGATAAGTACAAGAAATACTGGTTTTGATCTTCCATACTGACGGTACCAGTGGAGATAATCTGAACCTCCAGATGCAGAAAAACTACAGGATAATGTAACACTTGAACCTTCCTCAGCAAAAACATCTGTTTTGTTTGGTTTAATGACATTCCCAAAGACAGCAACTGAAAAAGAAGAGGAACATTTTTGTGAGATGTTTTTAATAGTACTTAATTTTAACAATAAAAATATACATTTATATAATAATAATTAACCAAATAAATACACACCTGCTGAGGCACAGAACAGAATAACTGAACGAAGATCCATTGATTGTGTTCACTCTGAGAAGAGTCAGACTGAATCCTTTCAACTGCAGTCTCTGTCAGACACTAAGATCATGTGAACACTGAGTCCCTCCTCTCAGCCACATTATACCTGAATTTGACATCAGATCCAGTCACATGAACTAATGTTACAACTTTATGATTACAGAACAAATAAACCAAATTTAATCTGCCATCCTTATTTAAGAATTTGACCTTATATTAATGGGACTATTGTAATGATATGTTTCTGCATTTGAGAGGGTGTAACATCATTAAATGAAAAGATTTTGTCAAGTTAGGTAGAGTAATTTGTATTAGTTTTTCTTCCATTATAGTCACGTTTTGAATGTTATTTTGGGCTTTACTTACAACAGCGTACCATCATTTGAAACAATTTATCTGCCTATCATTGTTAAGCACAAATAATAAGTTTTCATGTTGGAAGACAATTCTACTTCACACAGCCTTAAATCAAGAAATCACTATTACTAAATTATATTTAAATCATTACATTAAATCACGCAATCAATATAATAATGATTGCATGATCACTGTTATCATTCATTTTATTGTATTATTGACTGTTACCTTCATTATGTTATTATTACAGTTTTTAAATATCTAAAAAAAAATTACATTGTTAAATAAACAATTACATACATTATATCTGGACATGCTGTTAATGCTTCTTTTCTTAAGTTTGTCATTTACATTTAAGACTTATAACAAAGGCTTAATTCTGTCTTGCACAGCTGTAACCACATATTTTATTACATTCAGGGCTGGATAAATTGTGGTTTTCACTAGATATTTTCAAAGTGAAAAGAGCTTCAGGTTTTTGTACGACATGTTTCATCTTTTGTATCACTGGGCTTCTACTCTTAGAGCACAATAATAGTGAGCTGAATCTGACAGACTTTCATCAGTAATAGTGAGTTCAGTGGATGTACGTGATGTTGTCGACTGAAACCGATGATCAGATGTGTGTTCACCAGAATTTGATCGGGCACCTCTGAGTAATAAATACTGTGCTTTCTGTTGGGATACTGTCTGTACCAGTAAAGCCAAACATATTCATTATTTGTACGATATGAGCAGCTCAACTTGACAGTTTATTTTTCTTGGTTTTTTGAGCAGAGCAGAGTCTGATACAGCAGCAGAGGAGATCTCCAGATCCACGTGTTCTCTTTTTGGAATGTAAACAGATAATCTTGGATCTATCTTAGACACCTCAGCTTCTTTGGCATTGCTGTAGGTGAGAACAAGAAATTCAGGTTTTGATCTTCCATACTGACAGTACCAGTGGAGATAATCATTAGCTCCAGAAGCAGAAAAACTACAGGATAATGTAACACTTGAATCCTCCTCAGCAAAAACATCTGTTTTGTTTGGTTTAATGACATTCCCAAAGACAGCAACTGAAAAGGAAGTTGTAAATTTTTGTGAGATGTTTTTAATATAACTCATTTTCAACAACAAAAAATATATTTAATAACCAAATAACATACCAGCTGAGGCACAGAACAGAATAACTGAATGAAGATCCATTGTACTAGTGTTCACTCTGAGAAGAGTCAGACTGAATCCTTTCAACTGCAGTCTCTGTCAGACACTAAGATCATATGAACACTGAGTCCCTCCTCTCTGAGCCACATTATACCTGAATTTGACATCAGATCAAGTCACATGAACTAATGTAAATGTTTATGTCTCTGTGTTTTTGTATGTGGTTTGACTTGAGTGTTCTCACTGTGGGCCTCAGAGCACAGTAGTACACAGCAGAGTCAGACACACACAGATTCTGGATTGTCAATGGAACTGAATCTGATGAAAGTTTAGAGTGAAATCTCTCCTGAAACTGAGCATCATTATCTGCTCCTCCATATTTGTCTCTCCTCAGTATGTATCTAGGAAGGTCATTTGCTCTCTGAATGTACCAGAAGAGGTATGGTTGTGTTGAGTTTGTTGTATATGTACAATCTAATGTCACTGATTTTCCTTCAACTGCAGTCACATATTCCTCTGGCTGATCAACTTTGTCTTCTGATCTGCACTCTGTAAAGATTTAAGAATACTTGATGTAGTTATGATTTTTGATGTATATCATAAAATCCATATCAAAAAACAGTCTATACATTTTTAAAGAGTGATCTAACTGCTTAAAATGTGTAGAAATACATACAAAGAATGAATAGTGCAAATATAAATATATTCCTGATCCACCTCATGATCTTTTTCAAACAATGAAGTTAAAATAAATAAGACAGGTTTGCTTTCATAATATGATAGGACTCTGAGGAGGAGCTTGTGAAAAGTTAAAGGAAACCACTCTGTTTGTGTGATACTGAGAGATATTGCCCTCTTTTGGTTTCTTGCAAGTGTTACACAGCTGAAATATAAAGTCACATGATGTTAAATGTGTTGGTCATAAAGCAAGTGAAAGTACATTCATTACAGTTACAATCATTCTTCCTTTTTGTTTGCCATTTTATTCCTTTTGTAAAACATTTCTTCCCTCAACCTCACACAGGTGTTTGCAGTTATTATCTAACATTGAGGTTTTGATTTGGTTTTCATAATAAGAGCTTCAAAGTGAAAATGGCTTGTAGTTTTTGTACGACATGTTTCATGTTTTGTATCAATGGGCTTTAACTCTTAAAGCGCAGTAATAGAGAGCTGAATCTGACACAGTCACACTACTAATAAAGAGTTCAGTGAAAATACGAGAAGTACTTGAGATAAATCGAGGTTCGGAGCTGTGCCTTGTGAGGCTTGATCGAGCACCTTGATGTAATAAATATTGAGGTTCTTCATTGTGATATTGTCTGTACCAGTACAGACGTACATATTCACTGTCTGACTCATAAGAGCAGCTCAGCGTTACAGGCTCTCCTTCTGTTTTGATGATATTGGTCCTTCTGTTAGGCTCAATTTTGTCCACAGCCATCACATCTGCAAACATTAAGCACAATATTAACTCATTGTTTCTCATGTTAAACATTCTAACAATAAAGTTACTCTGAAAAAGGAAACCAGTAAAATGCCATCCAGTGTTTTATAGGGTCTTTAAAGCTGTTACTAAAAGATCTGAAGTAAATGGCACACCTGATGCCATAATGAAAAACAGCAGCATGTATTTGTTCATGGTGAATATGATCAGATCAGCTGTGTGTTACTGCTCTCTGTGCTTTGACTGTGTGTTACTGATGCTTTCTGCTGTTCAGTTATCAAGACATTCAGAAACTTCCTGATCTCTGTGAGTGTGAAACCAGTGAAGGCTTTGTAACATTGTTAATTGTTTTGGAAAATAACATAAAATTATGATATATTGTGTGATAAATGTTTCAGACAATAGCAACAAGATTTATACTGATACGTTTTATTTAATAGGGTGACCCAATAATGACTTTAATGTCAATTTTATCATGTGATTTTTTTTGCTCAGGGAAATTTAGAGGAATGATATTATTCTGGAAGCTTTTTTTTAAATAAATCAATTGTTCCTCTCTATAAAAATGCTAAAATGTTGAACATATAAAAACGTTGTAGAAGTATTAAAAATGTTATCCATCACTTCAGTTCCTAATGAAAATTTGAGAACACTGCCGCCTTGTGGCGCATTGTGATTTAAACGTAAACCATACTCTACTTTTGTATGAATCTAATGGAATTAACAATATTATGATGCTGCTTTCAGTTTTCATTAGTTATATTGATTTATATGTTTAACATTTTATCTGTAATTTACTATTACCCAAAAATTTACATTTTTATATATTTACATTTTTATATTACTTTCTTTTTTTTTTTTTACTTTTGATTCCCTTTTTCCTCTTTACATATTAAGATTTCACAGCTAGAGCTTACAGTTTCTCTGTCAGTCTTTGATTGTGTCTCTTTCCATGTTGTCTCAAGTTGACAAAAGGTTTTTGTACAGTGTCATTGAGTCTCCTGTGACTGTGGACTGCAGAGCACAGTAGTACAGAGCAGAGTCTGATACAGCAGCAGAGGAGATCTCCAGAATCACATGGTTTTGTTCACTGTTGGAGATTTTGATAGATTCTTAAATCTACATTAGACTTGCGTGTCTGTTTTGTCCCATATACGTGAGTACAAGAAATTCAGGTTTTGATCTTTCATACTGACGATACCAGTAGAGATAATTTGCAGAGGCATAATTACAAGATAACGTAACATCTGAATTCTCCTCAGCACATAACTGTTTCATTTGGTGTGATGACATTTCCAAAGACAGCAGCTGAAAGAGAAAATGTACATTTAGTGCTTTAGTGATTTTTCTTTAAAAAAAAAAAAACTTTAATCAAAATAGATAAATAAAAATTTATGTACATATTGAGGCACAGAGCAGAATAATTGAATGAAGATCCATTGTACAAGTGTTCACTCTGAGAAGAGTCAGACTGAATTGTTTCTTCTAAGTCTCTGTCGGACACATTAGATCATGTCAGATCTGTGAACACTGAGTCCCTCCTCTCTGAGCCATGTCATAGCTACATTTCACACCTGTGTACCAAACGAAAGGGCTTATTAATGTCTTCTCTTGCTTTCTCTGTGCTATTAATGTGTTTTATGTGTGATTTTGAAATATGTTTTGTTTAGTAAATCTGTTCACCCTGGAAATGTTTTTTTTTAATTGCCTTTCAGTTTTCACTGCATTTAATAAAATAAATACTATGTTTGAAAAGTTCAAGAAATGTACATTTGCACTTTGGTTATTTAATTTTACATTCCCAACATGATATTAGGTATATAGTTAACTTTCTGTGTTAAATAAAATTAAATCAAGCAGCTTTGGGCACAATTCAGAATTTAAAAACTGGCTCCCATTCATGAATTTTAATTAAATTGGTCACAACTCACTGGAAGCTGAATTGGAATTTGAATCAGAATATCAGGAATGTAATGAAAATCCATATAATGAAAGTTAGTTTATTAATTTTTAAAGAATTTAAAGTGGTTTTACATTTAAAAGAATAATAAAAAGTGATTCTGTTTCTGCCAGAGAATGGAGATTACATGACCATATAAAAGTGGTTTACATGTGGAACATGACATCTGGACATGTTAATGCTACTTTTCTTAAGTTTCTAATTTACAATTTATGACTTGCAACAAATATCTAATTCTGTCTTACACAGGTGTGACCACATATTTTATTACATTTGGGGCTGGATAGATTGTGGTTTTGATTGTGGTTTTCACTAGACTGGTTCAAAGTGAAAAGAGCTTCAGGTTTTTGTACAACATGTCTCATGTTTTGTATCACTGGGCTGCTACTCTTAGAGCACAATAATAGAGAGCTGAATCTGACAGACGTACATCAGTAATAGTGAGTTCAGTGGCTGTGCGTGATGTAGTCGACTGAAACTGACGATCAGATGTGCGTTCACCACTCGCTGACCGTGCATTTTTGTATAATAAGAATTGTGGTTCTCTGTTGGGATACTGTCTGTACCAGTAAAGCCAAACATATTCACTACTTGAACTATATGAGCAGCTCAGCTTGGCAGTTTCTGTTTCTTTACTAGTTTTTTCTGTCCCTTTATCTGGCGCAATGTTGTCTCCAGCCACCAAACCTGTCAACAATAAGCACATACGACCAAAATAATAATAAGCACATAATAAAAAAATTTAAAAAATAATTTAGCAAATACAATTTACTTTTTTATGGGGAAAAAAAAATCAGTCAATTAAATAATTTAGCATTTGGGGTTTTATGTTTTTAAAATGTTCAGTTTCATCAGTTGCTCAGTAAATAATGTACCTGTTCCCACAATGAGAATCAGTATAAAGCATCTGTCCATGTTCAATCAGATCAGTTCAGTTCTCTGTTGAGTCTCTCAGTGCTCTGAGCTGTAAGTCACTGCAGATCAGTCAGAAACACACACCGGAACTTCCTGCTTTATAAAGGCATGGCTTAAATTCTTGATGTTCTTGCGTTTTTCACTGTAGTTTCCTCTCATTTCTCATGAACATGGAAATATTAACCGATGGAAATTAGAAGAATAATGACTTTCTAATTATAGTCTAGCTATGTTTATATATAACTATAATTTGGAACAAGCAAAAGATGCACTATATATTACACATGAAAATCATGCGAGATATTTTAACATTTGTTACATTGACTGTTTATTTTATTTTTTATTATACCATGTTCTAAATTGATTTGTCAAATATGATTGTAAGACAGACCTGTAGGATTTTAACATACTTCATCTTTATATTGCCGAAGATTCATTCACTTTAAAATGTTAAATTTTGTTTGTATTTTGTTTTTTCATATACTAGTTAAATGATTTGTCTACCTTTAGATTTTGGTAGCTACCTGTGATTTATTTTCATTGGTTCTATTATTTTTCTGACATAATACTGTATATAGTATACACAGTATAAAACACTTACAGCTTCTTCCTCTCTGTCTTCATCGCTGTCTGTGTGTTTCTTTCTTTGCTCTCATTGTAACAGGTTTTTGTAGAGAGCTGATGTGTTTCCTGTCACTGTGGTATAGTACAGAGCAGAGTCTGATACAGCAGCAGAGGAGATCTTCAGATCCACATGGTTTTTCTCCCTTTTTTCAACTTTAACAGAGAATCTTGGATCTACATCAGACACCTCAGCTTCCTTTGCACTACCGAAGGTGAGTACAAGAAATTCAGGTTTTGATACTCATACTGATGGTACCAGTGGAGATAATCTGTAGCTGCAGAAGCAGAAAAACTACCTCCTCAGCAAAAATCAGTTTTGTTTGGTTTGATGACATTTCCGAAAACAGCAGCTGAAAAAGAATAATTGGTAAGAGTACATTAATAATGTACAGTATGTGGAAAATAATGTTTTTTTAACCTTATACCGCATTAACACATTTCATTACACCAAATACACAAAATAATGTTCTTTTTAGCAACATCATATGAACCCTTTAATTTTTTGATAAAATTTTAGTAATAAAACTCATTATCAAAAAAGAATTATTAGCCAAATAAATTCACACCTGCTGAGGCACAGAGCAGATTAACTGAATGATCCATTGTACAAGTGTTGACTCTGAGAAGAGTCAGACTGAATCATTTCTACTACAGTCTTTGTCAGACACGATTAGATCATGTCAGATCTGCGAACACTGAGTCCCTCCTCTCTGAGCCACATATACCTGTATAAATTCAGTTCTGTAAGTTTAATTCTGTTGTTAGGTGCCAGGTGCTGT